CATGAAGCTGAAGTTTAAAACTTCTCTATAGCAAAGACCTTTTAATTTTAAAGCTTCCCTTCCATTTTCTTTTCCTTTCAGATTGACTTCTACTGGGCAAGATGCAGAGGAGAAGCATAAAGGCTATTTAGTGCATAGTCACTCTATGGGACCCAAGGGGGACTCTGGAATCAAGAAATCAGTCTTGCATTTTTTACCAGCAGGAGCTGACAGAACTTGTGGGCAAGGAAAATAGGTACAAGAGTTAGGGCCCAAGTGCTGACAAATCAGTAAAATGACGAAGTGGCCATCAGTGGAGCTGACCTAAGACACTCAACCAGCAGGTTTGGATTCTGTCTTTTCTGTATTAGTGTACTATAAGCCTAGCAGACACTGAGAAAACACTTTCCAGTGAAGTGTGTCTTTTTTAGGCAGAAAATTCACTTTATGTGAAGACTGCAGATCGCAAATGCATTTTGTGACAAATGGATTTATGCAAATTAACTTTGACAAGCCCTACTGAGGAATCTTGTGAAGACAGGCAGAGAGAGCTGGGCCCATTTAGTCTAGAGAGGAGAAGGCTGAGAGGGAAGATCAATAACATATATAAATATCCCAAAAGTGGGTTTCAAGAGGATGCTGCCCGACTGTTCAGTGGTTTCCAGAGATTGGGAAAAGAGCAATGGCCATGAACTAAAACACAAGAAGTTCCACCTCAACATGAGGAAGAACTTTGTGTTGAAGGTGGCAGAACACTGAAACAGGCTGCCCAGGGAGGTACAGCCTCCCTCTCCAGAGATATTCAAAACCCAGCTGGATGAGTTCCTGAGTCATGCGCTCTGGGTGACCCTGATGGGATGGATTAGAAGAACTTGAGAAGAATAGTCCAAAATAAGGATTATTCTGGGAGCCTTCTGCCAGCATTACTCTTTATAGCTAAAATGAAACTGCACCTTCTATTTTCAGTAACACCTGTCTTGTTCCTTCTCAGTAGATCACAGTTATCTGAACTTGAAAACCAGTATCCCTTTATTTGGTTATTTTAAACAAAGAAGATTCAACTTAAAACTTGTACATTTTTTGTTTCCAACATCCTGCCTTTTTTGCCTATCAAACTGAAATCACGATAAGAAGAATCTTGAATCAAGAAAGTAAATTTTAGTATTGTACCCCTATTTTAAAGACAGAGATACAAAGAAATTTAACAACTGGCATTATTAAAAGCTTTCTCTAAAGGAAATGGTGCACCATTTTCTCTAGAGAATGATTACATAAAAGGTCATAGCAGATGTGACCTACTGAAGTGATGGTAATTTTCACCAGGTTTTAGTAGGCTTGGAAAACACTCTATTGCAATCCTGATGCAGAAGTCAATATTTTTTTTAAGTACCTAAAGATGTGAGATTAGGAAAGAATCTGCACAGATTTCATCGTATACAACACTGGAGGAATGTTTTCTAGATTAAACATTTGAAAAGATAGAAGCAAACATTCTATTTTTAACTAGACTTTCAATTTAATTGCCAAGTTTTATATAAAACATCAGCAACATTAACAGATGGAGGGGATTCCTATTAGCCTAGGAATAATTATGATTCCAAATACTAACCAAAGGCTGTAACTCAGAGGTTCCATAATCCCCTTCTGCAGCTCTGAGCACCTACTTCTACTTTTCTTGAGTCATCTCTACAACCTTACTCTACATGCAGGCAGCCAGCATCTATCTACAATGCAATCATCATTATCCTGACTACTTTATCCTTTATCTCTGCAATGTATTTCTACCTCAGATTTATGCAAAAGCTTTAGAAATAACACTTCTAGGCACAGTGTACTAAATGTCTCAGTCATTTTTAATTTCTGCACTTGATTACACCAAAGTCAATGTCAAATTAAGTATCATATTTGCAATTTAAATTATTCTAATCTCTTATTTTAGCTCACATTTCTGTATCAAATTACTTTTGGGGACCTACCCTTTGTTGGTGAACTTCCTTTGACTGTACAGCTCTTACAGAATGCAATTCCACTTTAATGGCATACAAAGGCCACGCTTAAGTTATTCAATTATGATATATGATAATAAGATCCAATTGAGTGTGCTTGCTATTTAACTTTTCTGTTCAAACTACACTATTTATCTGTTATAAAATCTATTTAAGAAAATTATTAATTGAGATGTTTTTTCTATTGTGAAATTGCAATTTTTTGAAGTTGTCAGTACTCAAAAGAATAACTAATATAGTATCTTTTTTATCTCATATGAAACAGAAGATATTTTATGGAATTTAAAATTAGTTTGTTAACTTTTCCATGTATTAAAAATCTGAATGGGAAAAGAAGAATTGCTTTCCTTCATGAACAGCATTTTCATTTCATCATTAACTTATCCTTGACCAAACACCATATAGACAGCAATACTATAAGCAATGTTTATGAAACAAGTGGGAATTCTGTTGATTATTTTATTGGAAAAAAATACAGTGCAATACAAGGGCAAACTAATCTGGAGCAATTTTCATCGGTGTAAAGCTCAAAAGTGCTGCAGTGCTGAGTTTCTTTCTTTTTGTATAAGAACTGAAAAGTTAGAGTTGTTTGTATTATAAAAGATAATTCTACATTCCCTATGGAAAATCTCATATGAAAGAAAACTCACATGTAGATTACCAAATATAATTGGCTAAGTGAATAAGTTCAGGAAAAAAAGTAAGGACAAAGAAGTGCTTGATTTTATCTAGCAGTCCTGCAATGTTCATTAAGTCAAAATTAGTTAACCTGATAAATTTTGTATATAATCTAAACTTCCTAACAGTAACTTTTGTCTCCTCATATCCCAATCTAGTTCTGAGGTCTGATTTTATCTAGCATATCTAATGAGTGATTTACTGGCTAAGGTATACTATTTTTACATCTGTGGTATTAAAATTATATTGTGGAAGAGGTTTTGTCACAATGAAAGCTGGAATAATATGAAAAGAGCTTCCAGATACTCCATGAACACTGGACCTGCTGGATATGAAAGTGAAAGAGCATATGCATTTCTAACATGGCTACAGAATTTCTTCTTTGCCAATGCAGTATTGTACTGCAGTATTTGACAGTGCACTCCTATACAGAGGTGGTTATTTTCATGTTCAAATTTGCAAAATTTCATTGCTTTCTAAGCACTGTAATGACATCCCTTTTCACTCCAGTCACTCTACTCATGTACCCACCCTATTCCTCTTCCCATTCTTTATATTTGACTTCTGAAATTATAACATCTTATTAGGCTATTAGGTTCTCAATTAAAAGAAAATTAATCTAAGTACCCTCTTTATCCCTTTAGATCTCTGTGGTATCAGGGTTTCCCTTTGCAATGGAATCTAATATAGTGTCAGAAGACTTTTGCTGCCACTATTCTCAGCATTTTATGCCTGTTAAGTTTGAGCAGTGTCCTGAGCCAGTGAACAAAACCAATTATGGAAACCAAATATAGAACTTTAGGTGTTGCCAAGTACAATTTAGATATAAGCCCAAATAAACAGTCCAGGAAGAAAATACTATATATTTGCATTTTGAAAGCACACAAACCTGCAGTAGTTTTTACTGAAATAAAAAGTCAGAAGAGAGACAAGGCAGCAATCCTCTTTTTGAGAAATGCAAAGACAAAGTTTCAGACAGCTTTGTGGGTTGTGCGTCTCATTAACTAGATTTAACCATGTTCCCATTTAGTGTGGGACCTTTAGGCTATACTTTGGAGACACATAATTCCAGCACTCAAAATTATCTTTGGCAAATTTTCAGGTGTAACAATACTGAAACTTTATGATGTCTCCAGATCTTTCTTTTATTTCTACTTATTTATGCTTTGTACAATGCTTAACATTGAGAAAGATATTTATGAAAGGCATAATTTGTATAAGACTACAAAACATAAAGGAACTATGTCACATGCATAATATACATTAAAATATACCAATAAGCCCAGCATTAACACTCATACTGTATTAACTCCTGTTAGAGAAAGTAAATACTCATCCTCATTGTACTGCCAACATTTTTTTCTCTGAGTAATACCAAAGATAATCTATGAGTTCTCAAATTTTTCAAGTCTGCTATTTTTGATGGCCAAGAACATTTCTTGATATTATCAGTACCAAATTATGACATCACTTGACATGATTTTATAAGTAGAGTTCCAGAATTTATCAAATGTCACCTTTACAAAGGCCTGGGTAGACTTATACAAGGAATATAAAATGCAAGTCCTTTTTTTTCCACATACTTTTAGACGCCATCTGCTCCTGCAAACAGGAAAAGCATATCTGCTAGCTAGCATTATGAAAAGTGTATACAAGTAACTACAAGTAAATTTACATGAGGCCTGGTGAAGAAAGGCCATTAGACTGAAAGCAGGGAAATATGTGTAAACAGTGAATTCTGCATTTAGATGGTCTAACTTAAATTTGTTCAGTTCATGATCAGTTAATCCTGAAAATGTTTAGTGTTAAAGTAGCAACAAGAGCCTAAGTTTTCTTCATACAATAAAGAGAAAATGAAATGAAAACACCCATACCCATTACTGTATTTCGTATGCATTATATATGGAATAATATATATCATTCAAAATTTTTATTTGACTTCTTTTATAAAAGTCTGATTCTTCTGATTTTTCTTTTTAGACATCTTTATTTACCACACTCAGAACTAGCAACTTTTCAACTAGAGTAATTTTTTTTCATTCCACTATGCAGACAGACATTTTTCTAAGAAGGAAGCTATATAAAACTATCCTGACAATGTGTACAGAATTAAAGATTCAAAAATAAATTAAAAGGTACAAGCACAATTGTCTTTTTACAGTTTGCAGTTTACCTTCAGATTCAGAGCACTGTTTATGAATCACCCATGAGAATTAAACTCATCTCTACTTTAAGAATCACCTGTCTGTTTGCCGATGGCACGTATTAATCAGAGTCTTATTTTCAAATATTACACTTGAGTTTGAATGACATTTAGGCAAAAATTAAAAATCTTACCTTCAAAAACTCTGAATGCTTTCTTGCAGCTTGGTAGAGGCCATTTAGCAGAATTGGATTTTTGAAAATTTTCCTTTAAATTCAAATATTCCACAGGGAAAAAAGATCTGGTAGAGTTATTCAGATCTACAATAATTAAGGGAAAAGAATACATAGATCAATGCTCTAAATAAAGCACAATAATAATTTGCATAAATTTACACAAAATAAAAAATGCCATATCTACTGTGTAATTCTTCTGATTATAACACCTATTTTTTAAAAATCACATTTATGCAACCATTTCCATACATAGCAAGAGCAAGTTGTAAACATTCTGCTTCTTTGGAAAAAAAAATTAGAAAAGGTTATGTAATTATGATAATTTCTGACAAAATTATGCATTTAAGAAATCAAGCCATTTAACTTACAAAACTATTATGATCTCTCTTAATAAAAATTATATCCATAAAAATGACTGTGGTATTCATTCTCAGTTTTTGTTTAACATCATCATTCAGTAATAGTCAGTAATGCAAAGGAAGGGGAAGAACCTGAAATTTTTTTAGATTTTAAAAAGTACTTTGGATTAACAGGAAGTTAATAATGTTAATTAATTAATCCTGTTAATTAATTATTTTATAAGTTTTTAAAAAAACATTTGTAGGATGATTCATGACACATTGCAGGAGGTGGCATTATGCACTAATCTCAAGAAATCAACATCTTTTCAGTGTATAATTTGGGGAAATTACTACATGGTTGCAACTTAAAACTGCCAAACTAAGATATTCATAGCAATGCAATGGAAAACTAAAAACAACAGTATTTTCCTACCATGGAATTGATCTACTGATAACAAACAGGGTTGCTAAGCTAGTAGTTAACAGGAAAAACTTCAACCCCCTGCTCATCAATTTGTGCCTCCAAACCAAGATGGCTCCAGATAAATATTAATAGTAGCTGGTACCATGATTCTTTCTGTACCTTCAAAGTAAGAAAAGACATTCACAGGATTTTTGAGAAGGCTTTTTTTATTACTTCATGTGGTCCAATGTAATGGAACATACTTTTCCAATAATAAATATTTTATTAAAGGATAAAATCTTTTTCTCTGGCGAATTTAAGAAAGCTAAGCTTTTTGTGAGCAGGCTCCAAAAAGAAGAGAAAATGCCTCTGCTTCCAGTAGCTTTTTCTGCGTAAGATGAAGACATTAACAGATTTCAAGTAAAAACCCCATGCTAGTTTGATTCTAAAAATTATCCTTTATTTCACCATGTCACAATGCAGGTGGAATGAAGCTACACAATACATGAAGAGCACAGAACCTTCAAATCCTCCATCTCGTTATGTGAAAATACAGCTACTGCACATATAAACTGCTGTCACTGAAGGAAAAAGGGCCTTTTCTTTCCAAAATGTAAAATGAACAAACTGTGTATTTTTCACTAGTGTTTTTTAAATTTTTATGAAAGAGCTTTATATACTACTGAACATATTTGGATTAAGTACTATTGAGATTCAATAATAAGCAGATTCAAAAATAAGCAGATGAGACTCTGCTTGCTTCTCACAGCACAGAGAACACTTTATTTTCCTGCTACAGACCACAGAAATAAACACAGTTCTTTCAATTTTATTCAAATTTAAATACTGAAACCTCTGGTGAGGCATCTAATTCCTGTTTCTCAGAAAAGACAGTGGTGACAAGTTTTACTGGCTTCTAGTAAGACTTGTCTGGGCTTTCAAGGAAAGATCCCCTCAGGCTGGCCAGGTCACCTGTCCCTCTGCAGGTACATGACCCTCTTTCCCTGTCCCGTGCCTGGACCTCCCTTGCACAACCTCTACCCTCAATCTGTATCTCTCCAAAGTGGTGGATTTATTGCACATGTGTGTCAGATCTGGCCCTTCTTGCAAACAACAAAAATTAAATTTTTATTAATGGAAGTGCGGAAGATCACTCTGTCCCTGTAAGTGAAGCATTTAAAAGATGCTTCTTTTAAGGTAAGCTACTTGGTGGAATCAGCTCAAGAGCTGTTTTCTTAGGTGTATCCTGGGCACATTGTCATCTGATCAGATGTGAGTTTATCCTGATGGGAGAAGGGCTTCTAAGAAAGCCTTTAAGAAAGACGGGAACACATAGTAAGCACCATAGAGCAACCTATCTGGACTGGAACTCATGCTTAAGGGATCCTGTAAAAAAGGCTCAGCTGACCAAGGCAACTGGCAAGAGAATTGCCTTTGTGAATCAAATATGGCTTTGTAGCTCTCAGTTAAACACTGATTTTCTCCATAATTGATGGATAATTGATCTCTTAGCCCTTTTTTTTGACATGTTACATGCATCCTTCTGTTGCAGTTATGTTCAGTCTGCAAAACTGTACAAGCTAAAGAGTGAACTTCTGAGTATATCCTTAAATTTTTTTTCTTTTTGACAAATCTTTGTAAAATATATGCACTCACACATATTTTACAAAAGGAAAGCTGCAGAGAGCATCGAAAATAAATTAATGAGGGACATAAGACATCCCAGCTGCAGCATTAGAGAAGTATGTAAAGACTACAAGCAACTTTGCTTTGTTACCTGCACAAACCCCCTATAGTAGCAGTGACTTTAGCATAAGTTTTTAAAGGCTTAATAACTCTTCTGAGTGGAAAAAACCCCCCAAATTACTATGCTTTACATTGCTCTGGCACCATTCATCTTCTTAATGTGCTGATTTTACTAATTCCTCTGAGGATACAATATCATCATCAATACCCCTTAGTTAATTTAAAAGTTGTTCAGTATGTTATACACTGGAATATTTCAAAATATTTTTCTTAGTATTTATAATAAAACAAAGCTAAATTACTGTACCTATTTTTAAATATATTGCTAAGTCCAGCACATATTGCTATATACTGAATGGCAATGTACAAATAGCTGCAGATTTCTCTCATCTGAAGTAGTTAATACAAAACAAATTATATACTGTTATGGTACACTATTTATAGTAGACTCTATTTACAAATCTATGATACCTTATGTCCTCCTTAGGCACATAATTCTTCTTCCTCAAAAGAGCTACATACCTATTTAATATTTTAAGAGTGGGTAAGGTTGAATGGGATGTCTTGAGAACAGCTAGTCCAACCTGCTCTGGCAGGGTCAGCTGCACAGGGGCCCAGAACCAGCTGGGTTTTGACGGGTGTTCAACAGCCTCTCTGACCAGACTGCTTGACATTCTCACACGAAAAAAAGCTCTTTCTTGTGTTCAGATGGGATCTGTTGTGTTTGAATTCATACCGAATGCCTTTTGTGCTGGCAGTGAGCACCACTCAAAAGAATATGGCTCCTTCCTCTTCACTCCCTCCCACCAGGCATTTTTACACATTGTATGTTAGGTACTCAAAGGCTACAAATAAACCTAGTAATATTTCACTTAGAAAACTGTAACATGTTGAAAAGTTTTGCAAATACATTTTAGAAAGCATCTTTATTCTACTTTTGTCCTCTCCCAGTGGTAATTTTCTGCAGCAAATCTGCTAAATTGGTTTTTTAAAATTTAAATAGCCCTAGAAAAACCTAACTATCTATCAGTGAAACACATTTCATCTATACATCAAATTGAAGGGGTCATCAAACATTAGGAAAATGAAATGAGAACAGCTTGAAATCTCTATACAGCAGACAGACAGGGGGTTGAGAGTGCTCAGGCTGCAGCTTTCCGCCCATTTTCTCTGCTGCAGCGCATCAGTGCAAAGATAGCCAGTCTCTATCCCTGGCAACCAGCAGCTGCTCAGTGAATCACCTTGAGGCAATAGGTTCACCTGAAAATGCTTCCTTCCCACCCAAATGAGTTCTTTATCCCAGTCAGTTCAAATTGACCTGCCATCAAATCATACAAAGTAAGGTCTGTACAAAAGCAGAGTCTGTGGACAACCAGAAGCAGAAGTGGACAGCTCTGCTGATCAATGTGAAACCATACTTCAGTCTGCATCCCTAACCTGCCATCATCACAGCACTCACAACAGCTTAAAGAGGATCTCTGCAAGATCTCTGTAGCGTCTAATATGAAACAAACACTCCTGCATGGCTGAGTCATTTCCATTACTTTGTGAACTGTCTATGCACAGTTTTAAGTGCTGTAAATTACCTAACTCCAGATACATGGTGAAATTTTATCTATGGCACTTGAATCTACCATATAAGCTTTGGACATAAAAGACTGACTCATGCTGTTCCAGATATTCTATCTGCAGAACTACTTACCCTCTTCTATTTCTACACCCAATCTGACACCAAACACCCTACCCACCATATTTTCCTACTGTTAAGAGGAAGGAACAGTAGAGATGAGGGTATAGGAGGCTAGGACAGGAGAATTTAAGAAGATGATCAAGGGTTTAAGAAGATGATCTCCAAGTCTTTAATTGTCTCTAAATTTAATGTCGTAAATGAAAAGAGCATTTTTTTGTGTGTGCCATGAAGTGAGCAATTTTGAAAATACTTTTCCATTAGGATAGTTTGATAAACGTTTATTATGTTTTGAGCTTGTTATTATTCAGGAAGAAGAAACAAAAGAATTCTATCAGAAAAGAAAGCAATCAGAATCTCATTTCTAAAATAAAAAGTTTAAAAGTACATGTCCCGAATAGCTTCTTGACTGGAATGGAATGGAATGTTATTAGGAGATGTTAAATGGAAAGAAAAGTTCACAGTGGATTAACATTACCAAAATTTGCTCTGAATGCATACAGGAAGGAAAAGTACAAATAATTTTTATTTGTAAAAAATAAAAAAGTGCAAAATCCTTCATTTCTATACCTGTTTGGAAAAAAACTCTGGCAATTGTAGTGCGACACAGTGGACATGGAGTGCTGGTTGGATTGTCTTTGGCAAGCATCCTTAAGCAAGGTTCACAAAAGATATGGTGGCATGGATAGCACATGTAAGGGTTGAAATAAACATCCAGACACACAGCACAGAGATAGCTTTCTTTATCTCCTCTGAGTTCCTGCTCATCATCTGTATGCCGGTTATCATTTGCAGGCTGCAAGAAGAAAAAGAGAACATATTTTCACATTCAGCTCATAACTATTTTTGATAAACCAATTGTCCAGAAGATCATTTTCAGTAATGGTTAAGAAGATTAATATCACACACAGGATATTCTTAAATTTAATACAGGTTAATACTTTTAAAAAGATGAAACATAAAACAGGAATATCAGTAAAAGTCCTCTGTGGGAAAGATGAAAAATCACAAGGCAGTAAAAGAAGGAAGTAACAAAACCAAAACAGTTTTGTCTAAGTAAAACTCTATTATGATCAGATTTCTTCTTTTAAAATTAATTTTTACAGTTTATATGTATCTGCATTACAAAAAGGCAGAAACACAGAATGGTATGGCTTGAATGGGACCTTAAAGATCATCTAGTTCCTACCTTCCTGCCATGTGCTAGATACCTTTCTTGAGACTAGGCTGATCAGAGTTCCACCCAACCTGGCCTTGAACATTTCCAATAATGGCACATCCATAACTTCTCTGGTCAAATTGTTACAGTGCCTCACCACCCTCAAAATAATTTTTTTTTTCTTAATATCAAATCTGATTGATATTAAGTACTGCAGACTGAAGTCATGTCTCCTTGTTCTATCACTACATGTCCTTGTAAATATTCTCTCTCCATCCTTTACGCTCCCTTCAGGCACTAAATGGTCACAATTACATCACCCTTAAGCCTTCTCTTTTCCAACCAAATACTGAACTAACAAAACCACACTTTGAACAAACCAAATACTCAGTCTCCATTCCTCTAATTATTTTGGCAGCCTTGTCAGAACCTGCTCCAGCAGTTCCATGTCCTTGCTGTGCTGTGCCCCCAGAGCTGATGCAGCCCTGCAGGTGGGGTCTCAGCAGAGCAGAGCAGAGGGGCAGAATCCCCTCCCTGCCCTGCTGCCCACCCTGCTCTGGATGCAGCCCAGGACACGTGTGGCTCTCTGGGCTGGCAGTGCCCATGGCTGGGGCATGTCCAGCCTCTCAGCCACCAGCACCCCCAATTCCTTCAGGGCAGGGCTGCTCTTGATTCCTTCATGCCTCAGCTTGTACTGATATCAGGACTTGCTCCAACCAGTGCACATTTCACTTGGTCTTACTAAACCCTCAAGAGATTGCTGTACACCCACTTTTTGAGTTTGTGCATGCTCCTCTGGATGGCATCCCATCCTTCAAGTGTGAAAATACCTTTGCTGTGCCAAGAAAGGAAAAAAAAAAACAACTCTAAAAATAAACTGTGAATGGTGGTGCCTTTGAAAATTAGTTTGTGAATGTTTATGTTTGTAATTGAATAATTACCTAATGTTCCAGCAAGAATGAGTTCAAAACAAGCCACAACTTTATTACTACAAAGCACAGTATAAACCTTAGAGTAGAAAGTAAGGAACTCCTATCATCTTGGGTAACTGCTTGCTTTTGTCAGCACATGTGCTCCAAATTTCCTTGCACTGCTATATTTGTAGGAAGACATAGCTGGACTTCCCAAATGGTGCTCATCCTATACGAATGTAACAACTGGTGTGCATTGCCATGTTCTGGCTTTGCTCCTGTAAGATGACTAAACCTTTCCAAGTAATCTGAAGATCTGGTATTTATGGCACCCTGGGTTTTTGGCTGTCATGATTTAGGAATGGTACTCTTCAATTTAGTGCTCCCACTGAGATTCTCCAAACCATGTGCCACTCAACTCGTTTCCCCTCCCCTCTGTGGAGGGCTGGCGAGAAGAATGGGAGGCACAAAAGGTGAAGATCACTGACTGAGATAAGAACAAAAACTGGGAATGGCAGTGAGATAAGAATATGAACAGTAACAGCAACAATACTAAAGGCATATATATGTAAGTATAAGGAAAAACACGGTTATTGTTCACTGTGGAAACCCCTGACATAAATACCCCACTGCTCCCTCTGGCTCAGAACCAGTGCCACCTGACTGCCCCCTCCAGCTCAGAACCTGCACCACACTTACTCAACTGGAAGGAAGCCCTTCTCTTTGGAAGAGACTCTTTCCCTGACCCCAGCAATGACACAAGGTAGAATAGAATAATCCTTGAAGAGCTTAGCCATGCCCTCTCCTGACTACTGCAGAAGTTAACTCTATGGAATGAGGATATTGGGTTAAAGAAGCAACCAATCTTTTATTCATTATGGGAGACACTCAGAAGACATTTACTATGCTCTGCCTCTTCTATCCATCTTCTTTGTTTCTGATTCTGGTTTTCTCTTTCACAGATCACAGAACCCAATATACTGCAATAACCAAGAGATCCACCATGAAAAACCAAGACAAGAGCATATCAAGACACTGCTGAGCGTCAAAACTCTTCTCTCATCCCTCTTACTCTAAACTCCCAATCCTTCCCTCCCCTGTGTAGCTGTGGTGGGAAGTGATAGAGAAGCTTTGGTGGCTGCCTGGAATCCAGCCAGGGTCAATCCAACACACTATGCATTACAGAGGCCACTTCTGACACTCATAGGCCATGACAGACCACAACTGCCTGACACTGGTACCGAAAGTTAATGACAATTGTTAATATTTGGGTTATGTAGATATGGAAATCTATAGATGTTTCAGAGAAGATTACATGTATGGCTTATACTTATGGTTTGGATTGCTGTGTTTCTCATTACTCCCAAAGACTATCTCTCTCTACAGGAATTACTGAACGCTGCAAATAGTGAGTAAATCCTTAACAGTATGCAATAAAATACTGTGGATCACATTAAAATTACAGAAAAATTCAGCCAGGATTTATCTGCTCTGGACAAACATTTGTCCTGTCGTTCTACCTTAGCCTTTGCATTGCACTTTCCAGGATATTATGTGGCAAGAGTGCTCCTAAATTCTGAGCTGCTGTGCCAAAACCACATTGCACTGTGTCCAATCACAAGGTCTTGTACAACCATGACTGTCAGTAACTGTTTCTCTTACCTTAGAACTTAGTCTAAGAACTGTCAACAACAGTTTCTATTACCTTAGAACTCACTGCTCCAGTTTGATTTTCTCCACTTGACAGGGCTGAAGAAAACTTTGGTGTGTACTGAAATTTACAACAGGAGCAACTAGGATGTACTGATAAGCAGGAAGCACGAGTCTGGCTGCACTAGCAGCCGCAGAAGCTAGATACAGACAGGAACAGCTTGGCACCATTACTTCCAGCTCCATTCTGTAGGAAAGGTTCTTAAGACAACATTAAATACTAGAGTATTACAACTATCAGTAAAACTGTTTAACTCAGACTGTCTCTACACTTAGAGCACAGAAAACCCACACCAGAACAGAATGGCAAAGGGTAACAGAATTTATTACAGCTAAGTAATTTTAGAATGAAGGAAGCTTCATTATACCATTTCTTTGGGAAAAAAAAAGTGGCAAATAATCTCGCAGAGAAAGTGAGGAAAGTAATCTCAGGTAATTACATGACTGATGACTTCAGCAGAAAGCAGGAAACACTAATACACTTGTGAATGTCCCCTCCAATGCTGCCACACGGGCTTGGCAGGGCAGAATTAAGTGTTTGAACTCAATCTTAAATTTCTTTTCCAACCTAAGTGACCCTATGATCCTATGCAATGTCAAAAACATAATTAAAATCTAGCACAAAAACAATATACAGAAAGCTTTTGCTAACTGGTTTTGATGAGAAGTGTTTGGAAAGAAAATACACCTTGTGTCTAGAGGAGCTGACTGCAAGATAAATGTCTTTCAAATGGCAATTAGGTAACTAAGCTAGAGGCAAAACTTCTGAGGACTCACAGGTAACAGCTGGTTCTGAGACAGGTTTGCAATAATGGTAAGATGCACGGACAGAGGTATCTCAGAACCAATTGCAACTATCAAAAGTTGCAATTTGATCAAAAGATCAAAATTATTCTAATGTGCAAACAAGATCTAATTAGGAGTAAGTTTCTTAGTGGAAGAGATGTCTTTTCTACAGCTTTGTGCCCCTTTTCAAAAGATCTATGTAGGCACATGGTATTATTCAGAACTGCAAAGCTAAAACCCGAGTAACTTCCTTGTGCAAGAAGCTAATGCACAAAAATTTAAAAAGTCATTATTTTTTTAGTTTGCAATTAAGTGGTGCCTATATATATTACTAGAGCCAGGGCTTTAGTGTATGAAAACTTAACAAGCATAAAGCAGGTTGGTTTTCTTACAGGATTATAGTACGAACAAAATTAAGAAAGTACATGTAAACATCAAGGACAGTGAAAGATTGTCAAATAATAACAGAAAAGGCTGGAAAGCAAAATTATTGCTCCTGAGAAATGAAGGAAAGGTAAGAGCATTTCATCTTCCCACACTGATTGGGAGCTGCTAATGTGGCGTTGACAGTAATCCCTATATAGGGGGACATCTATAGTGGGACATCTGAAGGATATTAATGAAAGAGAGGAATCAACTTCTGCTTGAGAAGCCTATAAAGCATGTTAAGGAACAAGGAGTCTGATACAGCAGTGGTTGAGAAGGGGCATGAAGCTATGAAATATGGATTTTGGAGCTTGTGAGAAGTCTCTGCTACTGGACTACAGGAAAGTAGTTGATTCAGTTTCACATTCAGAAAGAATACATGCATCACTGGATACCTAATGCAACACATTATCTAATGTATGGTTTACCTGCAATCATATGAAAGACCCAGACCAAGTGGTCGTACACACAAGAAAAGATTTTGTGTGAAAGCTATCAGTAAAAGGAAGTTTAGAGTAAAACCTGGAAGCATGATCAAAACAGTGGCAAAACCAAATAAGGCACATATGTCAATTGACAAAGTTGCCCTATTGTGAAAAAAAACCCAACCTACAAAACCCTTCATTTTCAAATGACCTATTCAGAATGCCTTGTTATCTCAAAAATGTCCACAGTTGAAAGACATGATGACTGAGGGAAAATCAGTTATATATTTCACATTATTATCTTGCAAAGAAAACTGCCTTTAGAATGATTTTTAGCTCTAAACCAGACTTTAACTCTTCAATTATAATGCAGAATTGG